AAATTCACAGAGCTGCACAAAGGTCAGAGTGAGCCGTGAACGGCACCGCAGCTCCACTTCTCCGCTCCCCTGGGCCTGTATGGCCTCCTCTAGCAGGAAGGACAGCTAATTGTTAGCGATGTATTAAAGAGCGCGACAGGGCTTTGTTGAGCTAACAGAAATCAATACTGGTAAGCCTCAATCTCGACGGGCCGAGTGCGGCTGTGAAAGGTAATGGGAGTGGAATGGACAGAGCTGTCTCGACGAGCAGAAAAAAGGCTGGTTTCTCTTACCAATCCATTTGTCATTTCCGTACCAGGACAGGTTGCCTTTTGTGCTGTCATAGTATCCAATCTTCTTGTAGCTCCCACCTGAGGGAAAAAAGCAAGAAGTTAAATGAAAGATGAGAAAAGCCTGAAAGAAAAGTGTATTTGAAACCACTTCTGATGCTGATATCTTCTTCAGCCTCGACCCGAAACAAAGAGACCCTCATCTGTCCATGAATTAATTTTGTACTATAGAGAAAATGAACAATGTAATGATATTTTAAAAGCTTGTATTAAAAGTTTTCTTGTGTAAATATAGCATCTAATTAACAGTGTGTCAACTAAAGGTCACATTAAGAAAACTTGCTTGCACTAAGCACTGCAATAAAAGCTTCAAAAGAGGGCCGACTCGACAAATCTGAAAATGTAGTCGATTTATAGCTGCATCAATGGGTCGAAGATAAAAAAAAAAGCCCAACTGCATTGATCAAAGTTAATCTGAAAGGCAACATATTGTAGAAAAACTTTGCTCTTTGGAAATCATTGATGTACTATGTAGACAAACTTTCACAACACAAAAATTAGTCTCTCTCACCAGTTCAGACCATTCATTGAAACTAAACAGGAAATATGAGACATTCAGATATCTTTAACACTAAAACATGACCACAGACACAGTGAAGTAATGAGGAGGAAATAGATGGGCTTTTCTTTAACTACAGGCAGTTTAGGCCCTGTGGACTTTTAGAAATGTTATTTCTAAAATAGTCACTTTTCACACTCTCACTAGTTTAATTTGTCTACTAATAATGTCCAACAGTGGACATCCATACATCATAGGACAATTTTTTTCCTTCACAGTGTAATTTACACAACAGCTCAAATTATGCATTCAATAGCACTCTTAGTTGGCCTTTTATTTAATGATTCATATTATTCTGATTATCCAAGTAAAGTTTTTAAAAAATATATATGTAAAATATATGTGAATAAGTATAAGAATATTAAATATAAGAATACTTTATTTATAACAGCAGAATTGTGTGGATGAAATGGCGTCATGTTTGTTACAATCATAATCTTTGGAAAATCTTTGGAAATACTGTTATTATCATTATCTTCTACATCGGTTTTTTGGTTTTGTTTGTACCTTGCAGTTGCTCAATGAGAGTCCAGGCCATACGTGAACCTTGAGCATCAAACACGACATGACCCTACGAGACACAAATGAATAAATATAAATAGTTGAAGATGTTACATCAATACAAAATCATCATTTATGAAATCCATTTGTGACTCATCATAAAAACAGAAATATAAAAGGCAAAAATCAAGGGAAAATAAAGGCTGAATCATCCTATAATGTGTTTGAACTCAAGATTCATTGTTATCAAAAATATTTGATAATCTGAGACTGATGATGTTTCTGCGATTTTAAGACTCTCTGACAAGTCTGGGAAACTATCTTCTGGAGTATTTTATCTCAATGTTATTTGACAGCTATTTTTCATCAACTCACAGACACTCCTTCAAACGAGCTGGTGTTGAGGGCTCGGTAAATCTCAGCAGTGATTTCCTTGTTGTTGTAGTTGAAGTCCTCTAATGTCCAGCCTTTGGCCCTCAGGGGGGCCACCGTTTTATTGAGGGCCAGTGCAAGAGCCCATACAGCATCATACGCCAGTGGAGCTTCCTGAAATCCACCCGTTTCTTCTGGGTTCTTCCCCCCAAGACGTGACATCAGCTGGGCCAGGAACTCTTGGGAGGTCTGTGGAGGGTTTTTGAAGGATTTATGATCCCATCGTGAAATTGTTATAGACAGTTTTTACGTAAGCATCATCTATTGTCAATATGAATTAGTCTTAAAGGGATAGTTCACCCAAAA